CAGGAAAAACCATAGCCTTGACTAGATGGACCTTTGTTGGCAAAGTAGTGTCTCTGCTTTTTGGTATGTTGTCTAGGTTGGTCATAACTTTCCTTCCAGGGAGTAAGCATCTTTTAATTTCATGGCTGTAGTCACCATCTGCAGTGATTTTGGAGCCCCCCCAATAAAGTCTGACACTGTTTCCACTGTTTCCGCATCTATTTTCCATGAAGTGATGGGGCCAGATGCCATGATAGTTTTCAGAATGTTGAGCTTTAAGCCAACTTTTCCACTCTCTTCTTTCACCTTCATCAAGAGGTTCTTTAGTTCTTCTTCACTTTCTGCCATAAGGGTCCTGTCAACTGCATATCTAAGGTTATTGATATTCCTCCCAGCAATCTTGATTCCAGCTTGTGCTTCTTCCAGCCCCGCATTTCACATGATGTACTTTGCATGTAAGTTAAATAAGCAGGGTGACAGTATATAGCCTTGAAGTATTCCTTTCCCAATTTGGAACCCATCTGTTGTTCCATGTCCAGTTCTAACTGTTCCTTCTTGACCTGCATACAGATTTCTGAGGAGGCAGATAAGGTGGTTTGATATTCCCATCTCTTTCAGAATTTTCCATAGTTTGTTGTGATCCACACAGTCAAAGGCTTTGGCATAGTCAATAAAGCAGAAATAGATGTTTTTCTGGAACTCATACTTTTTCGATCCAATGGATGTAGGCAATTTGATCTCTGGTTCCTCTGTCTTTTCTAAATCCAGCTTGAACATCTGGAAGTTCATGGTTCATGTACTGTTGAAGTCTGGCTTGGAGGATTTTGAGCATTTCTTTGCTAGCGTGTGAGATGAGTGCAATTGTGCAATAGTTTGAACATTCTTTGGCATCGCCTTTCTTTGGGATTGGAATGAAAATTAACCTTTTCCAATCCTGTGGCCACTGCTGAGTTTTCCAAATTTGCTGGCATATTGACTGCAGCACTTTCACAGCATCATCTTTTAGAATTTGAAATAGTTCAACTGGGATTCCATCATCTCCACTAGCCTTGTTTGTAGTGATGCTTCCTAAGGCTCACTTGACTTTGCATTCCTGCATTATCTTGCCTTAGGTGAGTGGTTATAACCATTGTGGTTATCTGGGTCATGAGATCTTTTTTGTATAGTTCTTCTGTATATATGTAATAAAACTTTATCCATTTATAAGCATACAGTTCAGTGGTATTAAGTACATTTACATGGTTATCCAATTATCACCACCAGTCTTGTCCAGAACTTTTTCGTTTTCTATAGCTGTACCCACCAAGCAATGCCTCCTGCATTCCTTCCTTTCCCCAGCCCCTGTCAAACACCAATCTTACTTTTAGACTCTATGAATTTGATTGCTCTAGGTGCCTCATATGAGTGGAATCACACAATACTTATCCTCTTGTGGCTGTTTTTTTTTTTTTTCCCCACTTTGCTTACTATCTTCAAGGTTCATCCATATTGTAACGTGTGTTAGAATTTTTTTCTGTTTAAGGCTGAATAATGTTTCATTGTATGTACATACCATATTTTGTTTGCCCATTTTTCCATCAGGGGACAACTGAGTACTTCCAAATTTTAGTAATAGTGAGTAATACTGCATTAAACATGAGTGTACAGATATCTATTTGAATTCCCAATTTTGGTTATTTTTAATATATACCCAGATGTGAATTTCTGGATCATGATAAAGGAAAATTATTCTGATACATATTAAGCCAGTTAGGGAGACTTTATTCAGAACTATGCTGTAGTTGTCAAGACCATTACCACAGGGGAGAGAGATTGGGCTCAACTCTGAATACAGTGAGGAAAGCTAGGGATTTGTAATCAGTGAGCAGATTGAGAGGACCAGTGGCTGGAAAATAAATAGGAGAGAACATCACAAGTAAGGGCATTCATGCTAAACTGACCTAATAGTATTCTTGCTAAAGGCTGGCTGACCAGGAGAATCTGTTATTGTGGATGCAGAAGAGGAATTTGAACAAGGGTGAGAGATTTCCTCTAAACTGACTTAGCAGGATTCTTGCTACAATTGGACTGCAGACCCCAGGATAATGCCTAGTCAAAAAGAGGACTCAGAGAAGCCTAGTTAAATTTTTGTCAAAGATAGAATCTTTTCCAATAATGTGATAATTAACTGTTAATTTTAGCAGAGGGGCACCATAGTGTTTTCCACTAGCACTGTTTTGTTCCCATCAGAAATGCATAAAGGTTCCAATTTTCCATAACCTTGATCACACTTGTTATTTCTTGAAGCTTTTTGTTTCACTTCATTTTGTTTCAATAATAACCATTCTAATGGGTGGGAAGTAGTATCTCATTGTGATCTGCCTTTCATTTCCCTGATTGAGTATTTTCATGTGTGATTTTTTTTTTTTTTTTGACCATTGCATATCTTCTCTTAAGAAATGTCTAGTCGAGTCCTATGTCCATGTTTTTCTCTTGGGTTGTCATTGTTGAATTGTAAGAGTTCTTTATATTGTCTAGATGTTAATCCTTTTTCAGGTATATGATTTGCAAATATTTCCTCTCATTTTATACATTGCCTTTTCACTATGTTAATGGTGCCCTTTAATGCACAAAAGCTTTAATTTTGATTAAGTACAAATGATCTATTTTGTTGTTGTTTTCCTCATGATGTTTTAGTATCATGTCCAAAAAATTATTGGAAAATCCAGTGTCATGGACGTTTTCCCCAAGTTTTCTTCTGATAGGTTCATAGTTTTATTATAAAACTAATTTTTACTGTGATACATTTATTATGTTGAGTTAATTTTGTATATGGCATAATGAAAGGGTCCAACTCCGTTCTTTTGCATCTGGAAATCCAGTTTTCACACCATTTGCTGAAAAGACTGTCCTTTCATCATTAACGATCTTGGGACTTGTAGAAAAACATTTGACCATATATGTAAATATTTTTCTGGGCGTCCCCAGTAGCACAGATGGTAAAGAATCTGCCTGCAATTGCAGGAGACCCAGGTTCAATTCCTGTGTGGGGAAGATCCCCTGGAGAAGGGAATGGCAACCCACTCCAGTATTCTTGCCTAGAAAATTCTGTGGACAGAGGAGCCCAGTGGGCTACAGTCCATGGGGTCGCAAAGAGTCAACACAACTGAACAACTAACAGATTTCATTTTCATATATGTAAGGATTTATTTCTTGGTTCTTTACTCAATTCCATTGATCAATGTGTCTGTGTTTATGGCAGTACCAAACTCTTTTGAGTACTATTGCTTTATAGTAAGTTTTGAAATAAAAAAATATGAGACCTCCAACTTTATTCTTATTTTTCAAGATTGTTTTTGGTGTTTAGAGTCTGTTGAGATTCCATGTGTGAAACTTATAAGAATGAAAAACATTAAACAGTATTTGAAAGAAAATACTTGTGATATATAAAAATTGAGACTGTGTAAGGCTTTAGCACAGTGCAGAATATGTCATAGACCAAGTGTTGTCTATTTCACTAACACGATAGTAGACCAATGAAATGATTCACTCCTGAGTTTCTGATCCGACTTAGACAGCTATGTTGGAATACCTTCCAGAGGACATCTGCATGACTAATATCCAATCACATCTCTCTAAGAGGGCTCTTGATTGAGCCCTAAATTTAATGACAAGTGCCTTAATAAAGGTCACACAGAAGAGAGACCGGGAGAGGGCTGAGACAGAGATTGGAGTGATACATCTACAACCCAGGAACACCTGGAGCCACCAGAAGCTGAAAGAGACCAGGCAAAATTACCCCAATAGTCCTTAGAAAGAGAAGGGGCCTAATAACACCCTGATTTCAGACTTCTGACCTCCGGATTGTAAGTTAATATATTTCTGTTGTTGCAACCCACCAAGTTTGTGATGATTTGTTACAACATTCCTTGGAAATTAGTATTCCATCCCCGACCATTGGGTACATGGGTGGAAGCCACACCTGACAACCTAATACACCTCCTGTATTGTGAGAGTGTGCTTGTAGGCAGCAGCAGTTTCAAAGTTTAAACCCATGAATTCTCCAGTAGAAGGCGGTGTAATCGGAGGCTAAGAGTGCAGCTGTTGCCTAGTCAAGCAGTCGTGTCCGACTGTGACCCCACGAACAGCAGCACGCCAGGCTTCCCTGTCCTTCACTGTCTCCCGGAGCTTGCTCAAATTCATCTCCGTTGTTAGCCTATTTTCTAATTTCTCTTAGGCTCAAAATTTATCTGCCAGAGAAAAAAATAGCAGCTCTTTTAGAAGTTGGGTATAAGAAATAGTTGATATAATATGTAAAGTACTTTCAATGCTTATTCCTTGTAAGTGCACAATAAACATTAGCTGCCACAATTATTATTATGGAAAGGATTTTCCTCTTAATCAATGGGAATGCAGGGCAATTCTCATTATCTTCTACTAACAAAGCTTTCAAATGACACATTGCCAAGTAATTATTTCCTTATATAACTATGTAATGTCTATACATTAATCCAATGTGGGGTTAATTGTACTAAGAAGGTAATACTTAAAGAAAAACTTTAGCACTAAAAAAAAGTGGGTTTTTTGGGTAACTAAGTATGACATGACTAAATGCTGGTTAGGAAAAGTTCTGCCTCTGCGTCAGAAAGTCCCTATGGTTTGTAGGCCTTTGTCAGATTTTTTTTTGGATCATATTATTTTGAGAATTTCAACATTTAGAAATATATGATGTTTTGTGAATAGGATACCATAGCTCAGGGCCTGAAGGTTACTCTTTGAGTTTAGCACTCTCTTTGTGGGCTTACTTTCTTCATCACGTGAGAAAGTACTTGCTATCAATGATCCTTCTTGGACAATCTCATTAAAAGCTGACTTGAAACAGCAAATAATTATGGGGCCAAAAATGCCAAAGCTTTAAAGAGAAGTCTATTATGTAATAACTTATAGACATCTTGACAGGAAAATATCAACGAGCCACACACCATTTCCCTAATGACACGTAGAAAAACTAGACCTTACATGCTGGAGATGTAGAAAAATTGATGTTTATCCTGGTCAAACAAAAAAATGATGGGGATAATTTTTTCCCAAATCAAAGCTATGAATGTCACATTCAGAAGTTAACTGTTCTAGTTGTGGAAAAACGAATCTGTCCACTTGATGAAGACTCCGGAGATGCTACCAAACATGCCAGCAAAAGGGAACCTGAGTTTCCTAGTTTTTCATTTCGTCCATCTTCCTGCTCCTGCTCTTGGTTGCCCAGAGCACTGAGAGCATGCCGCAGGTTTCCTGAAATTCGCAGTAAAGCAGTAGGTCTGCACTGTTGTCTTTTTCCTTCCTGCTCTTTGCTTCCTTGCTACATACCTTTCACCCTAATTCTGCTTAGCAGCAGCAACTGAAAAACAGTTAAGTTTTTCCATGCTCCCTTCCAAGATCAGTTTCCATCCTACACCCTCCTTGAGACGCCTTGCTCCAGGTGTAGTCCCTCTCCCTCCACTCACGCTGGAATTTCCCAGTTTCCAGGATCTAATTCTGGCTACAGAGACCTCTCCAGTCCGCTCTCTAGCTCTCAAACGCCCTAATCCAGCTGCAGACTCCTCCCCACACGGGTCCAAGGTCCACCCCTCACTTTCTAGAACCAGAATGTTCTCTCCCAGCCTTTCCCCAGGCCTGCTGCTTCTGTAACCACACTGTTCCTGTTTCCTAGGATAACCTCAGCTTTCTTTCTTTTTTTCGTGTCTGTCATTCAATCCTTCCGCCAGATTCCTCATGTTTGACTGCAAGATCTCTGGGCACAGGTGAGCCTTCCAAGCTTCATTATGACTTAACTGAATGGGTTTGTTGATCTCACAGCCAGCTGTTTTCTCCCCAGAAAGGACAGCAACTTGGAATGCCCCTTAGTCATATTGAGGAACTTTTTAACATGCTCCCGCCCCTAGAGATTTGGATTTAATTGATTCGTTTGGGATGTGGACCCTGTAATGGTTTCACAGCTTCTGGAGGAGGCCTGATGTGTGTGTGTGTGTTTAGTTTTGAGAATCCGTGCAAAAGCCTTCAACTTCCTCGTGCTCTTTTCACCTGGTTCTTCTCCTAAAGGGTTAGAGTTCACCTTAATTCCATGCAAATGGGAAGCGAAAGGGTTAGAATTCACCTTGAATTTTTGACAATGCAGCAGCCCACCCTTAGTGAGATGAACACCCTCTGTTCTCAGCCCCAGTTCACCCCAAAACAACAGGAACAGAATGTGCCTTCAGAGCTTTCCGAGAAAGTTGCTGGGAAAGTTGGCAATGTGTCTGGGTCTGGTAAACTGCCAAGGAGGATTTCTTACAGACTAGAAGGGCCCAAGTTGAAAAAGAATCCAAGGCAGTCACACAGTTACTTACATTTGTTGATGAACCGTTGACTGCTCTGGGAACTCTGGCAATTAACCCTGGACATCACACTCAGGCTTCTGTCCCATGTTTCCTTCTAACTTTGATTACTGAAGGCTGGGGCTGGCCTTCAAAGTCTTCCAGTCTGAAGGGACCATTTTACAGATGAGAAAACTGAGATCAAAAAAGACTATAATTTAATGGAATTCCCACAGCTAAATAGCAAGAGAGGTAGGTGGGGCAACCCAGTCATCTTTGTGGGAGTCAAGTCACACTTAATTCTAACCACACCCATTCTCATCTACTTAGTCGTCTGCTTTGAAAACAACGATAATAGGACTATTGTCAATATACAAATTAGTAGTTTGGTGAATGCCTAAGAGAAATGGACTTTTTTGACTTTTGTGAAAAAGCAAGTGCTCCAAGTAATTGGTGGTTTTATATTAAGCTTAAAAAACATGGGAAATAGGGACTTCCCTGGTGGTCCAGTGGCCAAGACTCTACAAGGTCCTCAGTTGGGGAACTAGATCCCACATGCCACTACTAAGAATTTGGACTCTTCAACTGAAAACAATAATGGAAAAGAAAGATCACCAGGCCACAATTAAAGGTTTCCCATCACAATTAAGACCTAGCACAGCCAAATAAAGAAGTAAATATATCTTTTAATGGGAAATAAATGAGGAAAGTGATTTTTTTATCTTGTGAAGCCTTTCTGTAACAGCATGATACATTACCTCACAGAGGTATGAGTTTTGAAAGACAGTGTGGATTAGTGCTTAGTTCTGGATCTGGCACCTAGTAAGGGGATAAATGGTCATAGAAGCAGGAGAGGTTTCACAAAATCAGCGTGCTGCAAAGCCACAGCACAGTGACATTCTCACTGTTTTCTTCCTAAACTGAGAGAAAAAGAGTTTTGCAAATTGCAGCTGTTGCATTGATTAGGGACTCAAGTTTTTCTTGTTAGTTTAACTGCACATTTTTTTTTCCCCCATAAAAAGAAGTTGATCTTTAATTTTCAACTCCAAAGTGTATTCCTTAGGAAACAATGCCAACCAAGTGAATGTAATTAGCCACATTTTATCTGTGAACTTGGAAAGGTGAAACAATCAAATAAGATAGGTAACAAGGTTTTTCTTGCATATTCAGGATGGGAGAGTTAAGATACACATTTTGGTCCTTGGTGCTTCTTTTTAAGTAGAATGTAAGTGTAGTGCTTTTTACCACTCTATCATTTTCTTCTGAACTGGAAAACAAGTTCATTACTGCTAGCAAGGATGCCTCTCAGTGTGTATATGTATCTATGTATTTCATATATATATGAAATCAAGTGCTGGCCTACTCAAAAACCCAAAAAGAACTGGATATTTGCACTGGCCAATGAGTATACGGCCCACCAATATTATTTGTCTCAAGAACTAATTTGCCAAGTGTGAAATTCAGTTATATTCTTTCAAGGGAGAAACAGTTTTGTATTCTCTCTGTAGTTACTCTAAAATATAGAGTATTGGACTGGACTTGCCTTGTGGCACAGTGGATAGAAATCTGCCTGCCAATGCAGAGGACATGGGTTCAGTTCAAACCCTTGTCTGGGAAGATTCCATATGCCGTGAAGCAACAAAGCCCATGTGCCGTAAGTACTGAAGCACGCACACCCTAGAACCACCCACTGCAACTGGTGAGCCTGCGTGCGGCAGCGACCAGAGCCGGGTGTCTAGAGTCTGCGCTCTGCAACAAGAGAAGCCAGCACAGTGAGAAGCCTGCGCACGGAAGGGAAGAGCAGCCCCCATTCGCCGCAGCCAGAGAAAGCTAGGTCCTGCAGTGCGGACCCAGTGCAGGCAGATAAACAGATAACATCTTAAAAATGTAATAACAAAAATATTCTTCATATCTATTAAACTTTATTTTGCAGGGGAGAGGGGTACGACCCTCTTGGTAACAGAAACCAGTTTTAGCTAGTTTAAACAGAAAAGAATTCAGCCTGAGGACAAAATCTCATGAAGACACTAGAAACAGTGCATACAAGGTCATGAGACCACTCTCCATCTTTTATTGCTTTTCCTTTTTACTTCATTTATTTTTCAGACCTTTTCTCACAGTTTCTCAGGTCCTCCTGGCAGGTGAAATGTTCCCACGTTTTATGTTCATATTTATGTCCAATCAGAAGATGGACATACCTTCACAGTCCCAGTTCCACATTCCTAAGGTTCATCTTGGACTGAAGGCTTATCCCTTGGATCAACCATCTGTGACTGTATGGACAGGTTTCAAACCAGTAGAATTGCTTCAGAAAGTGACTTTTACAAGCAGGCTGAGAAGTTTAAGAACAGACTAGGCAGACAGCCAATTAGATTTATACTAAATGGCTTGTAGTTCACCAAGTACTTAAAAAAATAATTTTGTTTGTTTATTTTTGGCTATGCTGGGTCTGCTTCTTTCTAGCTGCAGAGAGTGATGGCTACTCTTCCTTGCAGTGTTCTGGCTGCTCACTGCGGGAGCTTCTTTCGTTGCGGAGCATGGACTCTAGGGCACCCAGGCTTCAGGAGTTTTGGCACGTGGGCTGAGTTGTGGCTCCCCGGCTCTAGAGTCCAGGGTCAGTAGTTGTAGCATTTGGGTTTAGCTGCTTTGCTGCACGTGGGATCATCCCAGATCAGAGATCGAACCCATGTCTCCTGCATTGGCCAATAGCCTCTTACTCCTGAGCCAGTTGGGAAGCCCTAACCAAGTACTTTTTAATGATTGCGTTTCATCCTCACACAGTGACAGATGATACTATACACAGTTTTTTATAGCACTTATTACTTTATAATCTTATTTTTGTTCTAGTTTCCTCATTAATCTGTGAAATTTTGTTTTGTATTTTTCAGTGCCTGACATTGGGGTGTTCACTAAATATTTGTTGAGAAAATGTATGACTAAGTTTTGTTAAGTAGGACACAGATGAGGCAACTGGGATGCACTTAGATTAAGTGGCAGGGTGAAGATTCCCCCAGCTAATAAATATGAAATCAGGTTCTAGAGCCTCAATCCATTTGCCACCCACCAGGCTACTTCCTACACTGAGTTATCCTCTCCTTCTGTCTATGATGTCAACAACTGACATGAAAGGATTTCGTCTGATGGTTAGAATCATGAAAATAATAGAATTGAGATAGACATACGGTGAATTTTACAAGAATTTCATTTTACTCTCTTGGTGCACTGTTTAATAATAGTTTTCATCTAAATATAAAGAGTCTGTACTTTTCTCCTAAATGTTTACATGGAGAAAGACTACTTAGTCTATGCTTAGAATAGCAAAAAATGATGGTTAAATTTTTCTATATTAGGTGTTTTAAACCTGAAAATGATATTCGGCATGGCAGTCACTTCTGGAGAGGTGACCACTTCTCTCATAATTTTGGTGATGGTTTTGTTTTGTAAGAGCACTAGGAAACAAAGAGAGAAAGGAGGTGTTTCCTCCTGGCCCATGGTCCGTCCCCATCATGGGAAATCTTCTTCAGCTTGGAGACCATCCTTACCTTACATTCATGGAAATGAGGAGAAATATGAAGATGTCTTTCTCATCAAACTTGGTATTGTGCCTGTCCTGGTGGTGAATGGGATGGAAATGGTGAAAGAAGTGCTACTCAAAAGTGGAGGGCATTTTGCAGCCTGACCTAACATGTATACGTTTTCTTTCCTGGCACAATGAAGGAGTCTTACGTTTTCAGTCAATTATGGGGAGAGTTGTCAACTTCATGAGAAAATTGCTTCCAATGCTTTACGAACATTTTAAAGCAGAAACAAAATCCTCCACTTGCTCTTGCTTACTTGAGGAACATATCGTCAAGGAAGTCTCTGAGCTGGTAAATGTCTTTACAGAATTGACTTCCAAGAGTGGCAGCTTTGAACCTAGAGGTGCTATTACCTGTGCTATGGCCAATGTTGTCTGTGCCCTTTGCTTTGGCAAGAGATATGACCACAGTGATGAGGAGTTTCTTAGAATTGTTGAAACAGATGATGACTTGCTCAAGGCCTCCAGTGCTGCAAATCCTTCTGATTACATACCATGTTTCTGATACCTTCCTTTGCAAATTATAAATGCTCCCTGGGAGTTTTATCATGCCCTGAATCAGGCATTTATTCTCTACTATTTATTACTGTTACTATTTATTAGTATTTTCTCTATTTATTCTCTTTCAGGCATGTTTCTTGCTCTATATGTACAAGATCATCTTACAACATATGATAAGGTAAGGGTTTAAATGCATGATGGGACAAGGGATTTGGTGAGAAGGAGAAAAAAAGTGGTGAAATGCATTGAGAAATCAGACAGTTGTATGTACTACCCTGGTTCTTTTACTGTAGTTTTTCCATAGTGAACCTCACCCAAACCATTAATAAATGTGAAGTCCAGTCAGAGATATTATAGGGCAGTATTACTTAGCTCTCATGTAGGGACCCAAAAACAAACTTTGAATTTTTTGAAATCTCAGAATTTCCCTACTGTGCAGATAAGACGCATACTTGAAATATGAATCTGTCCTTGGCTGATAAATGATGATCAACATTTAAGTGGGTTTCCTGAAGAAATGACCCAACAATTCTGTTTCTCTAATTTTGTCTCTGAAACTATGAGGTCTTAAAAGTATCAGCATAGTTTTTTCAGAAAGTTCTTTGAATAATTATAAGGAATGAACATTCCTTATTCTATAGGAAGCTTTCAGTTTAATCTCATATCCTTCTTGAGTTTCTTTCCTGTGGAAAAATGAACTTTGAGATCATAACACATGTAGAAACGTTCTCCAGATGACAGAAGCAAACCTTTTTGTGAGGCCATTGAAATGTTTTTGGCCCAATTTGATGGCCCACAGAAAAGAAAATTTCTCTCTCGAATTATGTAAATACTAGAAAAAATCCTAGTTGTTAGGGAACTGTTTCCTGAGAGTAAAGCATTGGGGGAAAAAACATGAAAAAGTGGATAATTGAATAAAGGAAGAGAATGAGGACTTAAGTCCCATCTGATTAAAAGGAATGGGCAGAAAACAATCTGTAGCAAGGTACCAGTCTGGAATTCTAGATCAGATACTGTAAATAAAACCGTTTGTGAAATTCATAAAATTTTTTCCTACTCCCTAATCTATCCCAATCCCACCTCCTTCTGCATGGTGATTATAGTAAAATTCTTACAGTAGGTTTGAAAACCTCTTATATTTATTGCTTAGCATATTCTCTATAAGTTAACCTCTGATTTTTCTAAGTGCACTTCCAGACATTGGCATACTCTTTATTGATTGAAATAAAAAACTTTTAAGAAGAAAATTGAGTTTGGTAACTTGGTTTTCTTTACTACACTCTTTTATGATTGAGCATTACCACTGACAAGCAAAATTAGTTGCAAGATTTAAAATGATCTACTTATATTCTTTACATTCCTAAGTTAATTGGGTTCATTTCAAGTTACATGGTATTCTGGCTCTTCCTGCATGAGAGTCATATGTGCTATAAAATGTAGGAAGGGATGAATAATCATGTTAAGGTTTGTGTCCTCAGGACCACATCCAAGCTATCACTGATGCTCTGATTAATGCATGCCACAACAAATATGCTGTCAGCAAAACAACCACATTAAATGATGATGAAATTATAAGCACTGTGAGTGACCTCTCTGGAGCTGGTATGTATAACTATTTATCAGCATTTAAAGTGAATGACGATTAATCACAATTTTCTGTTTTCTGCTATAAAGTATTTCCCTCTTTTGATATCGGCCATTTACTACTTTTAAGTCTATATCCCACTCTCAATCCTTTTCCCAACCTTTGACATTTATTCTTAATCTGTTTAAGAATATATTTTGTCTCATGTATTCTTTTAAAATGGGCTTGATATTTTCATGTACTAGTGTGTATTCTTATATTTATCATGAGCTTATTTTAATATATGTAAATTATCATTGTATTGCATCTCATTTATAACTTTTTTCATGAAACCCTATATTTTTAAGATCCAATCATGGTTGTCAGGTGTATTTCTAATTTGCTGCTTCTAACAACTGCATAGTACTCCATGGTCTGTACCCTCCCCACATTTTACTAGTCAGTGTCTCAGTAATGCAGATATTGAATATCTTGTCGATGCTAAGATGACCATCTTTGTGCATCAATTTTGTCTCCTTTTTCATTGTACTCTTATGTTATAAAGCAGAATTTCTGGGTCACATAATAAAAGGATTCTTGAGTTTTTCATACAGATTATCAATATCCTTTTCAGGAAGATAATTTATATCTCCATCACACCACTATCGTTCTTAACACTTCATAGTTTTTTTTCTTCTTAAACCATTCTTACCTATTGATGAAAGCAATTTTCAGGTATTGAGGTCTGGGGAAGTTATATGGTGGGCACATGATTTGGCTTCAGCTTTGCACTCAAGTTTGGATAGGGCTTCCCAAGTCACTCAGTGGTAAGCAATCTACCTGTGAATGCAGGAGACCTAAGAGACGCAGGTTCCATCCCTGGGTTGGGAAGATCCCCTGGAGAAGGGCAGAGCGACCCATTCCATTATTTTCTCCTGGGGAATCCCATGACAAAGGAGCCTGGTGGGCTACATACAGTCCATAGAGTTGCAAAGATTTGGACATGACTGAAAAGACTTATTCACTTTGAAGATAGGAATACTATTTCACCCCCCTTCCTATGATACCAACTCTAGCAATCCTTCAAAGATGAAATTTCCTTCTCAGACACCATGTCATGCTGACTCACTGAAACCTCGAAGGATGGACCCCTGTCATGTTTGATGTTTGTTCTTTGTTCTGACAAAATATAAAACTGAGGTTCAGGAATCTGTAATGGAGCTGGACGGTCATTGTGGACATGGTTTCAGACATGTTCCTGCATCACTGAGAACTTGAATTTTCTGTGCTATATCAAACTCAAGGACAACACCAGCCGTTTTCAAAACAATATCTGCTAGTAGCTGCCAGCTGCAAACTTATGGTTTGAGGTTTCTCCTTGTAACTAAGCAACTATTTTGGACCCTAGGCAATCCTTGCTTAACAACCACACTTATTTCTTGCCAACTCCAACCATAATTCTTGACAGACACCTTATGTAACTTTGCAGTTTTTTCCTATACAAACTTTCCCCATTTTAATTCTGGGGAAACACAATTCAAGTGCTTATTGAATCTGTCTCCTGGGCTACAGTCCTCAGTTTAGCTCAAATGAAACTCTGTTCTAGGGACTTCCCTGGCAGTCCAGTTGTCTGGTTGGAGAGCTAAGATCTCACATGCCTTGTGATGTAACATTGTAACAAATTCAGTAAAGGCTTTAAAATGGTCCACATCAAAAAATCTTTTTTAAAAAAAGCTCTCTATTCCTATTTTGGATTATTTATTATTTGTGCTGACACTATCAAATTTCTTACAGTTCTTGTAAGATATTAGGCTGTAGAAAGCAAATTCCCTTAGTATAACAGCAACAACAGCAAAATTCTAAAGATGTTTTAACAGTTTCATGTTAGGTGGAATATTCTTCAGACTTCTCTTCTCCTTTCTTCTTTATGCCATTGTTATTGGCAATTGGGTTCACTTTTTCCTAGGGTCTACATATTTGTGTTTCTGAATTTCCTTTGCAAACAGAGGCATTTGTTTGTTTGTATTATTTTTCCTCGTGCCAAAATAAATAATAGGTTGCTTAAGCCTTGATATAAAAAGAAAAGTTCATGATGATCAAAATATGAATCCTGATACTTATCAAATAGTCCTAGGTCTTGGATATAATTAGGTCTTGGATATAATGTTCATGGCCCTACAATGTGCAAAATCAGTGTCTTTTATGCAGCATTCACGACTTGTTTTGTTTTCTTTTAGTAGCAAATAGAAACAGTGTATTCTGAATAGAATTCCATGTTCTCCTACCATGCTCTACCATACTATAGACACCATTGTTGGCAAATCCATTTGGGCAACTTATTTTCAGGATAATTCCTTGCACTGTGAAGTCATGTTAGAAATTTTATGGAAAATGAACTGTTGAATCTACTGGCTCTCTACAAGAGATTGCCCTGTTCAAAAAATGTAAAACCAGGTCTTGAGAAGAGATATTTGGGAAGGGGTTCTGATTGCTCTGAAGCTAAATTTGGGTATATTTCTTGCACATGTTGTCATGCAAGGTTGTTTAGAGAACAAACAAATTCTGAAGTCCCAGTGCAGTGAAACCACAGATTTGAATTAGAGACTCACTTTGTCTCTTGTGTGGTCCTGGTAAAATATTCAACCATCTCTGTGCTGCATGTTTCTCGTCTCTAGAGTGAGACTAATTACAGCCCCCATTTCAAATGACAGGGCAATCAAGTGATCAGTGTTTGGAATTATCACTGTTATTGTTGTCATCATCATCATGAAAACTTTAAATGTTAATATTGATTTAACCATTCATTTTTGCTACTAAATTTTATAAGATTTAGTAGAAAACACAAATAACATTTTTAATGTTGCCAATAGTGTTAGTCACTCAGTCATGTCTGACTCTTTGCGACCCCATGAACTGTAGCCTGCCAGGCCCCTCTGTCCATGGAATTTTCCAGGCAAGAATACTGGAGTGGATAGCCATTTCCTTCTCCAGGGGATCTTCCCAACCCAGGGATCGAACCCTGGTCTCGTACACTGCAGGCAAAGTCTTTGCCATCTGAACCATTAGGTCATCACTGAATTGAATTTACAATTAGAACAGCCTAGAAAAACTGTTTAATGTGATATTTCTGACTGTAGGTTTTCAAGAAAACTGATCACATTCTTTGATGTAGTGTAAAGTCATCCTTGAGAAAAGATGAAGTTTTATATAAACTTTTTACCTTTAATTTTCATAATAAATGGAAAGCATCTTACCAATGTACAGATGATATCAAAAGTAAAGACATCGTGTTTAAAGAATGAATTTTTAAAATAAAATAACTATACAAAAAGTTAGTATTTCAAAAAGTTGAATGTACTCAACCTTCCATTATGCACTTACACAAACTTACGGCCTTGAAGTCAGGTAAGTCCAAATTTACATCCCACTTGTCTCTTCTGAGTTGAGTCACCTTAAGCAAGGTCCATAAGGTCCTCAAGGCACAGTTCTCTCCTCAGTTAAATGAGCATAGAATAGAATAAGCATTCAATAACTACTTAGGATTTAAGATATTATTATTATATATAGATCATAGCCATTATAATAATGGTTTATTTTGTAGTAAGCTATTTCCAATGTTTTAATTTGCCTTATAGTAATATCTATGCATTAAAATTTTTAAATTTTATTTTTTATTATGGCTCCAAGCCCCTTAGATTAAATTTACTATCCTAAATTTTTATGTGTACAATTTAGTAGTGTTGTATATATTCACATTGTTGTGCAACATATTTTTAGAACTTTTTCATCTTTTAAAACTATAATTCTATGCCCATTAAACCCCAATTTGCCCTCCCCTCTCCTGCCAACCCTAGGCAACTACCTTTCTAATCTGTTTTTACAATTTTGGTGACAATACCTCATATGAGTGGAATCACACAGTATTTTCCTTTTGTGACCAAGTTGCTTCATTTAGCATAATGTCCTTGAGGTTCATCTGTATCATAGCAAGTGGCACCATCTGCTTCTTTTTTTAATTTTTATTTTTTTCCAATTATTTTTATTAGTTGGAGGCTCATTACTTTACAATATTGTAGTGGTTTTTTGCCATACATTGACATGAATCAGCCATGGATTTACATGTGTTCCCCATCCCGATCCCCCCTCCCACCTCCCTCCCCATCCCATCCCTCTGGGTCATCCCAGTGCACCAGCCCGGAGCACTTGTCTCATGCATCTAACCTGGACTGGCGATCATTATACAGAGTGAAGTAAGCCATCTTCTTCTTTTTAAGGCTGTAAAATGTTCTATTGCATGTATATACCACATTTTATTTATCCATTCGTCTATCAATGGATGTGTGGATTGTTTCCATCTCTTGACTATTGTGAACAATGCTACCATGAACATAGTTTTACAGATCTTTTTAAGTCCATATTTTCAACCGTGTTGAGTGTATTTTGAGAAGGTAGGTTGATCGGTCACATGGTAATTCTCTTTTAAATATTTTGAGAGCTCTTCATATTTTTTTCCATAGTGACTTCATCATTTTGCATTTCTACCATCAATACATTAGAGTTCCATTTTTTCTACATTCTCACCAACATTTGCTGTTTTCTGTTTTATTGATAGTGGCTATTCTAATGGGCAAGATATTAAGCCTGTGTTTTGAAATAAACCTTAATGTATAATAATTGTATTTGCAAATACACTTATAAGTACATTTATGAATACAAATTACAAGTACAATTGTATTTGTGAATAATAATTATAAAAATGTATAATAATTGTTAATGAGCAATCATATGTAGATTATTTTCCTTGGATTCTTAGTGTCCAAATAACAAAGTAAATTAAAGATCTGATTTTGCTAATACCTTTTTCCAAGATACACTTTCTCTTTATTTTCAGGGTTTGAAATAATATCAACATGTCTATATTGGAGCTTTCTTTATTTGATATACTATCCAGAAAATTCAAGTCAAAATTCACGAAGAAATTGGTAACATGCTTTCAGATGAAAAATATAATTATTATGAGTATATTTTCATTTTAAATTAAAATTTTAAGAATGTTTTTTTTTTTCCCCCTCAGATGGAAAGATTGGGATGAAATCACCCAGGTTTGAAGACAGGAAACTTTTACCCTACACAGAAGCTTTTATAAATGAAATATTCAGGCACACCTCATTTCTTCCTTTCACTATTCCTCATTGGTAAGAATATGCCTCTCCTTTGGGACAACAACTGTTCCAAAAGTGGTGTGGGAGGAGTATGGAATCTAAAGCATTAGAATGAATGAAGGAAGTTCTTTAAAATCTATATTATTTTAATTTTTTTTTTTTGAAACTCTTTAATGAAATTTAAGCTAGAGCAAGGGAAATTATGTGAATGTTTTCCATAACTAAATTATGATGCCATTAACTTTCATCTTATATTTACTAATTAAGGGGAGGGATGAATATTGAAATTTGGAGAAATGGATAATCTAACCATAGTTTATATTTGGTTATTAAGTGTCGTACAGACTCACTTAACTTACCGCCATGAGCAGCCTTGCCACTGCTGTTGTTAAGTCACTTCAGCAGCCTTAGCCACCTGCTAATGTGATGTGGCTTCATTTTCAATAGCTAAGAGTTTTGCTAGACGATAGATGGAGGAAGCTAGTTGCCAGAAATAGATTGAACAGAGTATACATTTATAGGTATTTGAAAGTTTACTAAACTTTATGCCAGACTCTCCAGCTCCCAAAGGCATGCCAGTAGAAGCTAAGTAGATAGCCTTTATTAAATATGTACGTAAACAACTTAAGTTCTAGTAGTTCAAACAGTTTCCATTCCATATAGTTAAGATAAAAAAATTAAACTCTCACTGCTTCTCTCTTCCCATCTTTAAATAGTGGAAGTACGGGAATGTCTCTCCGCCTGTGGTAATCGGCACAGCAGAATGGAGTGGCCTCAACCCAGGGACCTCAAAGGGAAAGACCACTAGCTGAGCAGTCAAACCCAGACAGTGAGCCACTCAGGCCCCTGGGTTTTGCCTCTCTAGTTTGCTCTCCATATTTCACATGATCTCTTTCCTTCAGATCCCCTCTCTGGCTGAAGCAGATTTCATCTTTAACTTAATAAAAAAGTGAAGTGTTAGCTGCTGAGCCATGTCTGACTCTTTGCGACCCGATGGACTATAGCCCTCCAGGCTCCTCTGTTCATGGAATTCTTCAGGCAAGAATACGGGTGTGGGTTGCCATTTCCTTCTTCAGGAAATCTTCCTGACCAAGGGATCAAACCCAAGTCTCCTGCATTACAGATTCTTTACCATCTGAGCCTTCAGGGAAGCCCCCCAAAAGGTCCTACATTTAAAGATGCAGCTCTTCTGTCCCGAAGGCTTCAGTGGGGTGACTTTGGGTGCTACATAAAAGAATACAATCTACAAGCTTTACTAAGAAATAAGGAACAGAGAACAAATTTACTGGAGGCATTTGGGGTGAAATGAAAGTGATCATATACTTTGGAATCCTGAAAACACATCTGAGGACCTCACTAATAGGTAGAAACATATTTTAGAAAATAGGTATTCATTATATTATTAAAAGTGAAGAAATGAAGTAATATATAAACTAAAAAGATCAGATGCATTGGCCAATGAGAATAGTGTGATATGACCCAAGAATTTTAGCACAAACATATTAATAAAAGGCATCTTATATATATCATTTGGGACTAATCCATTCTATACTTGGATATTTACTATTTTCCATCTAAAAGGACAAGGGATCAAAAAGCAGAAAATAAGTTAAAGTGAAACAGATTAAAGCAACATAAATAGAACAATCTTAGGTAAAGGGGGCAAAATTTTTGCTATTACTTGTACCATATGTACATACACATGAAGGTTAAACAGTACCCTAATAAGTATTTATTGGATATACACTCTTTAAAAGTTGTGTAGAAAGGCACTTTCATATGGGAAGTTTTGGAAACATATATATAGAAAGAGAAACCCTACAATGAATGCATTAATGTATTGAGTCCTCCTTTAGAATATATAATCACTCATATTTTCATATTAGTGAAATCAAATTTTACATGCTAGGTTTCCAAAGAATAGGAACATGTGCTTTTTTATACAGATTAGAATTTGAGCAGCTGAATCCACAGAGGGAGTGACAGGAATGTAGTGAGAAAGTCAAGTGGCTACACATAGGAACAGGTAATCCTTCCAACAAATAGGTCCATCCCTTTTTTGGTCTTATCCTTTGTTGGGTTTTGAGGACACCCAATGAGTAATATCCATATTATTTGCCAAAGTTCAATACCAACTGCAAGATGAAAGGTCAGAGAGAGTTTCAAATATTAACTTTCTAAATTAACAGAACTAGTTTGCACAGTTTGGCTTAGAGCTAGACTAAGGAGGCTGAGTCATAGTTTCCACCTGAATTAGACATACTTCTCCACTCGTGCTCTGGTGAAGCCGGACAACTGCAGTCTCCCTGGGAAGTATGAAACTGGCTTCTCAGCTTAGTCCATTAATAACTATAGATGAGATTTACCTTCTCTACAGATTGGATAATCAGAAGAGAGAACCCAGAAGTGGCTAAGACAATTGTGTCCAGTGACTATTCTCAAACTTATCACATTGAAATGTCACTGAGAGTGAGGACCATTTTGGAAGTTAGGGAGTACTGTATCGAAACAGAACATGCATAAGTAATGCATAATCACAGAAGTATAAAGGGGAAAGGTGTACAGTATGCATAAAGAAGTCTGAGTATGGAACTAGAAAAATAAAATACTTGTTCTAGAAGCAACTTAGATCCTCCAGGTACAACTAATATCATTTCACAGCTAGGAAATGAAATCATAGAGTAGATATGAGATTTGCCCCAACATCTCACTTAGAACAATATCTAGAATTCAGATCTCCTAGTTCCAATTCCATTCCAATTCCTAGATACGTCTATCAAGTACTAACTGATGTATATTTTTTAAATCTATTAGTAAAAGACAAAAACATGTTGTATACAAAGAAAATTCTTTATAATTTCCTTAAAAGTTTCTGGTTGTAATTGCATATGTCTCCTTATGACCAACTCTGTCATAGAAATATTGTGATGATTTTCTGGAAATCTTAGCTCATAGCAATGCACTCAATGTAGTAAATGCTCAATATGTCTAACAAATACAAAATAAAGAATAACTAGTAATTTGACAATAGGTAGAAGATACATCAATTAATGAATGGAGATTTATAGAGATGTCATATCATTATTACAGTAAAAAATAACTTTAATGGCTCAGTGGTAAAGAATCCACCTGCAATGCTGGAGACACAGGAGACATGGGTTCAGTCCCTAGCTTGGGAAGTTCCCCTGGGAAAGGAAATGGCAACCCACTCCAGTAATCCTGCCTGGGAAATACCATGGACAAAAGGAGCCTTGTGGGCTACAGTCCAAAGGGTCTCAAAGAGTCAGACACAATTGAGTGACTAAGCATGGAGCTCAGAAAAGATATATCAATTAATGAATGAATAGAGATTTACAAAGATGTCATCCCACTCCAGTACTCTTGCCTGGAAAATCCCATGAATGGAGGAGCCTGGTAGGCTGTGATCCATGGGGTCGCTAAGAGTTGGACACGACTGAGCGACTTCACTTTCACTTTTCACTTTCATGCATTGGAGAAGGAATTGGCAACCCGCTCCAGTGTTCTTGCCTGGAGAATCCCAGGGACGGGGGAGCCTGATGGGCTGCCATCTGGGGTCACACAGAGTCGGACACGACTGAAGCGACTTAGCAGCAGCAGCAGCATATCATTATTACAGTAAAAAATAGCATTAATAAAAATAGTCCATGCATTGCAGGAGGCAGCTTAGCAATGGGTTATTTGAGTTTGCAGGATGTGTCATAATGCTGTATTTCTCTTTCTTATAGTACTACAACAGACACTACTCTGAATGACTCTTTCATTCCCAGGAAAATATGCACCTTTATTAATATGTATCAAGTAAATCATGATGAGTAAGTCACCATTTGCTTTTGAACTGTGGTGTTGGAGAAGACTCTTGAGAGTCCCTTGGACTACAAGGAGATCCAACCAGTCCATCCTAAAGGAGATCAGTCCTGGGTGTTCAATGGAGGGACCGTTGTTGAAGCTGAAACTCCTCCAGTACTTTGGCCACCTGATGCGAAGAGCTGACTCATTGGAAAAGACCCTGATGCTGAGAAAGGTTGAAAGCAGGAGGAGAAGGGGACAACAGAGGATGATATGGTTGGATGGCATCACCAACTCAATGGACATGGGTTTGAGTGAACTCCAGGAGTTGGTGATGGACAGGGAGGCCTGGCGTGCTGCGGTTCATGGGGTCGCAGAGTCAGACATGACTGAGCGACTGAACTGAACTGAACTGAAGTCACCATTTAATTCTTGAGATAAAATTTGCTTAGTTCTTTGTTTGCTGTTATTAATTTGGCAAAAGTTTTCATTCTTCTTAACCAAAATTCATCCCCGCTGTTTCTCTTGAAAGAAGTTGGAGGGAAATTCAGTTTTCTTTCCTCACAGGTAATGGGAAGGATGAAATCTTAATACCAATTCATTCAGAGGAAATCGAATTTCAGACGTGGGCTCACAGGGAGAGATGTGAGCCAAGGGCTTCATGGGCTCACCCTCTACATGAGTAGGAGCAGCCCGTATTTGAAAAGCAGCCTGAAATTCCCCACTGGAGTATAAGCCACCAAGCAGGGGTTGTTTTTTCTCTCTCTCTGTCTCTCTTTTTGTTTATTTGCTTTTTCCTCAACCCAAGCACCTAGGTCAGTGCCTGGCACATAGTAGGCACTCTCTAAATATTTGTGAAGAAAATGCAGCTAGAGGCTTGCCCATATCAACTGCAGAAGGGCAGGCTGAGCTGAAAGTACCTCAGGAGTGAAAAATGAGACTGATGGGTGGTGATGGCAGTGCTGGGAATAATGAAGAGTACAACTAATGTTTAGAGACCCTACTGTGTTCTGGGGGCTTCCCTGGTGGCTCAGCGGTAAAGAATCCCCCTGCCAACCTGGGAGACAGGGGTTTTATCCCCGGGTCAGGAAGATCCCCTGGAGAAAGAAATGGCAGCCATCCCACTCCAGTATTCTTGCCTGAGCACCTCATGGGCAGAGGAGCCTGGTGGGCTACATCAATGGGGTTGCAGGGAGTCAGACATGACTTAGCAGCTAAAACAACAACTGTGTGCTGGGTACAAAAAGCTCAGATATATCCACTCTGACCTCAACAGTAATCCTACATAGTGGTGCTATCATAATCCCAGTTTTCCTGATGAAGAAACTTTCAGCCCAATTGAGCAAATTACTTAAGACCACATTTTCAGCAGGTAACAGAAGCAGGATTCACATCCAGTGCAAATCCTATTTAATATGCAAATCTGGTTTGATGGAAATAACATGCCTCATGTAGTGAGGGCTTGATGTTTCCAGCAAACTGATAAAGACTGCATTCTTTTCTTTCTTTTCTTTTTTTTGGGTTTCCTTTGGCTACACTACAGGGCTTGCCAGATCTTAGTTCCCCTACTGAGGGTCGAACCTGGGCCCCAACAGCAAAAGCACCTAGTCCTAACCACTGGACCAACAGGGAATTCTCAAGATTGCTTTCTTATACACTCAGCTAACCATATGTACAGTACTCTGTATAGCTTCTCCCTCTTTACCCAAGACCTCATCTGACTGATGGCTTAGATGCTAGGCTTGTAGGGAGGGAAGTTATTATGCTGTGCTCCTAATAGCACCTTCACAATCTCTGTAACCAGCAAAATGGTGGAATACACTGCATAGTCTGTCCCACTGGAAAGCTTATTGTCAGCGAGATTGATACATCTCTTCTCCACCCAGTGACTACGCTGGATAAATCTAAACATTTTTAAACCCACTATAAGAAGAAATACAGTCAGTGTAAACTGAATGGCATTTATTTTCTGTTAGTACAACCCCAGGTAACTCAAGTGTTCTAGCATCCTAAGAACTTGTGATTATACTGCCTATTGAGTAATGAGCAAATAAGCTCAGTTAACACAGGTGCTAATAAAGAAATACTCTTTGTAAGAAGGCACTTGTTTAAGTTGAGTATGTAATTCAAGACTTGATACTATGGGGAAGTTGTTCATGTTTAATCTAAAAGGTCACAAGTTCAAGCACACACTGAGCAATGGAAAATATGAAAAGTGACTTGTACGTTGAAGCAGTGGGGAGAGGTCATTGGTTGTATCTATGCAACCCAGTAAACTATTGGTGAGCAGGACATTGTCGCAGTGTGATCAGCTCTTTTAGTTATAAACAGGAACTTGGAAATGGAGATTTTCTTGTGGAATCTTCTGATTTTTAAATGTTAGCAACAATGAATTACTTTTAAAAGATTATGAGAGTAAAACGAAGTTTGTTGGAGGACTGAATATCATTTATAAATCTCCAGGTCTATGACCTCTGGTGCAGAGAAAACAAATTTTTCTCCTAGGAAGAGGGTGACATCTATAGACAAAGAGATCCAGTTCTTTATGAAGTCAGGTGAGTCTCTGATAGGATGTAGGTAACACACTCTCATTAGTTGTAGATGAGCCTGATGCAGTGCTTGTAACAAAAGGTGGAAGGAGAAGAGAGAACCAAATGTGGGCAACCCCCTCAATCAGAGTTGCTTTCAGGAGACCTGGCTCCTCTCTGTGATGATGTGTGAAGGTTATTTCCAAAACAGGGTGAGAGGTGTGGCCTTGATAATCTAATCCTTCCTGTTCCTTTTGCTTAAAACCAAGGAGATTAAAATATTTATTACCTTTTATTTAACCACAATTTTGGAATATTCTAATGAGACTTTTGTGGAATTATTCATTTAAAATAATAAAAAATTAAAATACGTTTCATGTATTTTATTCACTATTTAATGAACCAGAAACCATTTTTGTGAAAAATAGGTATAATTGTACTAAGTTTTATGATAACTAAATCTGTCAACATATTAAAGGGAATAATGACATATATATCCACAATAATTATCTAATTATATACCTCCATGACTATACACATATATGTTTGCATACTCAGTCATGTCTAACTCATTTCAACCCTGGACTGTAGCCTGCCAGGTTCCTCTGTCCATGGAATTTTCCAGGCAAGAATATTGGAGTGGGTTGCCATTTTCTTTTCCAGGGGGATCTTCCTGCCCCAAGGGTTGAATCCACATCTCCTGCATTGGCAGGCAGATTCTTTACTGCCGCACCACCTGGGAAGCACCACACACGTGTACACACACAGACACAGATGTATGTATATATAACTTTATATACATTGTTCTGAACTTGTACAAAAGACTTTATCCAAAGCAAAATTATTATGGAGAAGTTGGCAACAAAAGTAAAAGTGATAAAATGAATTCTTTAAAAATTTTTATTTTTGTCTATTTTATCCAGAACTATTTGGGATAATCCCAATTTACTTAGACCTGAGAGACTTCTGAATGAAAACAGGGAACTGAATAAGTCTTGTTGAGAAAGTGTTCACTTTTGGAATGGGAATCCAGAAGTGTCTTGGAGAAGAGGTTGCACGAAATGAAATATTCGTTTTCATCACCGCAGTTCTGCAACAGCTCACACTGAAGAAAAGCCCCGGGTCACGCTTGACCTGAAACCCACATGTGGATTAGTCATGAAGCCAAAACCAGAACAACTTCAAGCAGAGTCCCGTTCCATGGGTAGTTCCTGTTCTTAGATTCTCAGACCAGATGGAAGTTTTCTTGTCTAATTTAGAAAAATTTGGGGCTTCAAATTCACTTAGCAAGCAGTTTATTAATAAAAGTCATCCCTCTAAGCTCAGTTCAGTTCGTTGTATGTCATCCTAGTGTAGCGGTTTTTAGGTGTATGGTGTAGCCTGCCTCCTCATATGAGAGCGCTTATCTTAGGAGGATATTTTAAGATAATGAAGTGTAATGTGATTCAAGGGTTTTAAACCTATGTCTCATGTGTGACCCAGGTGTCACTGTGAGCGATGGAGAAGGGAATGAATCAGTGCTGGTAGATGGAGCAAGCAGGCCAGGGGCTTCTGTCTTCCTTCCCTCTGTGCCAGCTTCAATAGCCAAATATACTGATATTAGTCTTCAACATTGGGGTCAGCATAAGAGCAAAGTTCTGGTGTTGAATATATTCCTTTCCACTGGACTAGGAACTAGGTACTCAAGAGGTCCAGAGAAGGGACTTAAAGTTGCCCGGAGCAGCAGAGAACATTTCATGGGATAATAGATGAGCCGTGCTAGATTTGGAGAGACAGGGGAAAGCATGTAAAGAGGGGATGTCTTCAAAATCCATTTTTATATTGGCTCTATGTTTTCTGGATTATGAATTTAACTTCAGGGCAAACTGGTATTTTCACAAGGTTATCAGTTCCTTTCGATAACCTACTAAAAATACATGTGTATTCGTTTGCAAGGGCTACTGCCAAAACAAAATATTAGTACCACAATCTGAATGGCTTTAACAACAGACATTTGTTTTCTCACGGTTCTGGAGGCTGGAGGTCTAAGAACAAGGCGCCGGCAGTGTTGGTCCCTCCTGAACGCTGTTTCTTGAGTCTGTAGATGGGCTGTCCTCACGTGGCCTTTGGTCTATACCCACACATCCCTGTGTCTCTCCTTTTTCTTGTTAAGGACAACAGTTATCTTCGATTAAAGCCTTATCCTAATAGCCTCATTTTAGCTTAACTATACCCTTAAAGATCTTAACTCCAGATGCAGTTACATTCTGAGGTATGGGGGTTGAGACTTCAACATAAGAATTTAGGGAGGAGATACAATTCAGCCCTTAATAAAATGTTAGGAGGAAAAAAAAAGATAGCATCTAAAACTTTTTCAGTATAGTACCCAGCACTGTGTGCTTCTTTAATTGAACTTGTTAATGAGTTAAGGCATATAAGGGACATAAAATAGACAGTAAAAAGCTATTTTATTTATTTGTTTATAAAAAGAAAGGCTATTTTAGATTGAAGGTTTAAGGGGAGCTGCATTATAAAGGGCTTGAAATACAAACAGGAAATGAGAGCATTATCTGGGGTCTAATTCAAATGCAGAGAGCACTTAGGGATAACAACCTAAGGCCATCTAGATAATGACCATCTTGATCAGGATGTCACAATGGAAACAGAGAAAGTAAACAACTGACAGACACGGAGGATTAAAATTAGGACTTCATCTTTCTTTTCCAAGTACACATAAATTCAGCCTTATTCTTCAGAATAAACAAATTGGATGGCCTGTCCTTTTTTGTAAAAGCTTTTGAAATTGTTTGTATTATCCACGTGACAGTATGTCAAATTGAAACTATTCTTACATTTTTTTTCTGTAAGAAACTATCAAATCGTCTGTGTATGCAATAACAGTGGGGGTGACCGGAACACAGTAAGAATCTTGCTGTTTATCTGGTATTTTCCTTAAGGAATTATGTTTATCGAACCTCTTGTTTTTGTTGTTTTTTCAACAGTTAGCAAATGATTCATTTATTTTTACACACTGTATTGTAAAATGCTAATTTCCACTTTGACTCTGCTCCTAAGGCATAATTAGTGTGCTATTGCACTTTTGGAAAATTTGTGTGTGCAGTTTATGCAATTTTAGAAACATGGATAAGACTAAAAAAGGGAAAAGAAAGTTTAAAAGCAAAATGGAAATAGCTTTTCTTTGTCATTTAATATGTAACAATGAGCTGTTTTTAACTATATGTATTTATCTGGAAACAGTCATTTATCTTATAAAAATATAATTAGAAGCAACACTGTACCACACTTTTATATTGAAATAAGTTAATTGAATAACTTAAATTTATACTTTCAAATTTTGGTGCTGGAGAAGACTCTTGAGAGTCTCTTGACCTTCAAGGAGATCAAACCAGACAATCCTAAAGAAAATCAACCCTGATATTCATTGGAAGGACTGACACTGAAGCTGACGCGCCAATACTTTGGCTACTTGATGCAAAGAGCAGACTCATTGAAAAAGATCCTGAAGGGGACAGCAGAGGATGAGACAGTTAGATAGCATCACTGACTCAGTGGGCATGAATTTGAGCAAACTCTGGGAGATAGTGGAGGACAGAGGAGCCTGGCATGCTTCAGTCCATGGGGTTGTAAACAATTGGATATGACATAGAAACTGAACAGCAACAAAATTAACATAAACCTCTTTAATCATCTGGAAACCTACATGCAGAATTCATTATAAGAGAGAGCAATTGATAACAAGTGGATATCAGTGGCAATCCAAGATGAGTAAGGTCTTTAAAGCCATTATATATGAAGTAAAAAGAGTAATAGAAATTAGATATCCTGCTACATGCATGTGCATGCTCAGTCACTCACGTGCGCCCAACTCTTTGCAACTCCATGGACTGTAGCCTGCCAGGCTCCTCTGTCCATGGAATTTTTCCAGGGAAGAATGCTAGAGCGGGTTGCCATCTCCTGCTCCTAAGGACCTTCCCACCCCAGGGATTGAACCTGTGTCTCCTGCATTGGCAGGCAAATTCTTTGCCACTGCACACAAGTACATATGGATACTTATAACTCTGTGCCCTCCTTGTATTAATAGCTACAGCCCCTTGGGGCTTTTGGTAACACCATGAATATGAAGGTCAGACTAGAAACTATCCACTGCATGATGCAAGTGAAAGAGAATGTGTCTGGTCCCAAGTGTTTTTCAAGGAAGAAAACTTGCACCAAAATTCATAAAAACATTTACATATTCCTACATTGAAATTCTCTAATTTCTTCCCAGTTAAACCTGTAATTCAGATATGATATCAACCTACATGACAGGGTAAGAAATCAGAACCATTTTTGAGAGGCAGCAGGGGTCTTTGAGGATTTTACTATCTAAATAATTATTAATTAGGCTCTCAAATCTACAGATACTTCCAGGTCTCTAGATATGTGGATACATAATTTCATGTTTCAGAGTCACGCAGGATATCCCCATAAAATCCAAGCTTCATATGCTAAACAAACAAAAAGGCACCTTAAATCAGAAATAGCTAAAGGGTGTTGTTTTACAGCTTAACAGGCTATAAAAATAAATGCCCTGTGAGGGCATCATTGACTTCCACTTCAGATAAGGATAAAAAGCAGGGTGTAGACAATTGATTCTTTATGATACACATGTTTAATAGTGGGAAAGTCAAAACAAAAATCATGAGGTTTATAGGTCTTTTTCTATCCTTAAGGTTATTTCCAGAGAATAGTTTGCCTTAATCCAACATTATATCAAGCCCCATCAACCATAAACTGCACACTTACACGCAATACTGTTGCCTTTATCTCTACCCCTGTGGATGGAAGCATGTTGCATGAATGAATTTTCCAGCTAAGTGTGATGACCAAGTTCTAAAATGCTCATTTTACTTAAAGTCTTTCTGATGTTTTAAAATGCATTTAAATAAATAAATATATTTTTATCTTTTCCAGACTTGATATTGACATTTCTAAGGGTCCTGCACTGGTCTATATTCATTTGATACACACTTGATCAGTCCTCCATCCCTGCCTCAATACCAGTTTTATTCATTATCTTATCAGTGATCTTCCCAACTCTGTGCAAGCTCTACAAACACAGGACCAAAAGTCTGCTTGGCTTCCATCGTACCCCTAGTGTCCAGCACTGTTTGAGGCACATAGCAGACAATCGATAGATGGTAGTTCAGTGAATGTAGGAGTGAATTAATGATTAAATGAATGAATCTAGTAGAGGAGCCAGAAATGCTTTAGCAAAGGAAGTATCTGAAATTTTCTAGTATGGATAGTATTTCTCGCATCTCTGCTCCTGTTTTAATTTCTATCTTGTTGCCTACATCTCAGTCTGAAAATCTGTTCAGTTCTCTCACTCTTCTTTAAGCTATAATATTCAGATTTCATCAAATATACCCTTAGTTCTTTTTTTTTAAACTCACATTTTTATGGCATCAGACCCCAGCTGGATATTATTAGTCACCCCTCCCATCTCTCTGCAGGACCACTGTCAAAGTGCATCCAAGCACTTAAGAAACTTTCAAAAGTAACATCTCAAATGTGCTCCAAAAAGTCAGCATTTCTCCCGCTCTGACTTCTTCATCTTGCCAACACACATATACAAACATAGGCAGCTGACCATGTCTTTAACTTCACCATGAAACTGTGTACAAGGCCCTATGTCCTTGTCTTTTAAAGTAAAATGCTGATTCAAGAGTTAATGATTGGGAAATATGAAGATGTAGACACAAAGAATAGCTGTTGGGCTAGGGAACTTGTAACTGTTTAGACTATGATTCTGCAACAAAGTAGAATCGCCAAACTCCTAGCTCCCTGAAAGACAGAGATAAAGGCTTGACACACATTCCCTCAATGTTTTTACAGGAAGCAGACCCCTCCACCAGATGAAAACTGCTGACTATGAGAATATAGACCCTAGACTGGTTGAAGCCAGAAAGTTGATGATGTTTGAAACCT